ACGATGAGGTCGAACGCCTGCTTGAAGCCTTCGACCGTCTCCACCACTGGCGCGCCCGAGCCCTCGGGCACCGCGAGCTCGCTCACGACCAGCTGCATATCGCCATCGCCCTTGGAGATCCACCGCCGCGTGCCCGGCACCGCCCGCCGGCCCACGTCGCCAGACGGGCCGCGCGGCAGCGCCTCCTCGCCGCCCGCCGGCTCAGACACGGCGACGAGGCGGTGGAACTCTGAGATCGACAGTCGCTTGGTGGCTGGCATGTGCAGCGATTTTCCTGCGGCGCGAAAAAAGAATTCCGTGATAAGTGCGCGCGGGAGTCTGGCGCGCACACTGGTCACTGGACACTGCCATCACTGTGCCATCACTGGCACTAACACAGGAATAAATTGCCGCTCGTTGGGCGGGTCGTCGGTCTCGCCTCGCGTCGCCGCTTCGTCACGGCTCACGCACCCCCTCTGCGCTCGCGCCTTCCGAGGACGGCCCCGCTCCACTCGTCGCCTCCGCACTCCGTTTCTGTGCTAGGCCGTATGGACTCCGCGTGGCATCGGCTCGGGCGGCAGACAGCCAAGGCGAACGTCGAACCCTCCTCCAACTTTTTGCGGGGTGTGATCTGTGATCTGTAAGGGTCCGCCCGCAGGCGCATTTTGTATACCGAGGCGGTGCCCGGTGCCGAACCTGTCGGACCTTAAGACAGCATTGTAGATCCCTGGGCGAGGGTGGTGGAGAGGGCGGCCCGTCGGCGCCAAACCACCTCCCACCGAGGCGGGCAGGTTCCACGCGTTCCCGGACCGCCCCGTTGGAGGTAGACCGCTCGTCTAGCCAATCAGCCTTAAGCGAGCGATCTGGCCGTTGGAATGGCCGAGGTTGGTGGACTTGCGTCCTCGCATCGATCATGGTTTACGAGCATTGTTAAGTTCCACTACGATCTCTGAACACTGCGGGGTGTGGTATACAGCTGGCCGAGTCAACCCGAGAGGCGTGCTGGGGCGAGAGCCCGCCCAGACGGCCTCGGCGATTCAAAAATCAACTCGGGGCAACAAACGGGCACAAACGCCATGCTACAAAACCTCGTCAGCCACACGTGCGCCTTCTCGCCCCTACAAGCCCGTGTCCCGAATCCAGTCTCGATACACCATACACGAAATGGCGTCCGCCGCCCGCAAGCGCGCCCGCACCGGCAATGGGAAATCGTCGTTTCCTTTTCACTCTCGGTCCCCCAACACGGAACTCGGAAGAGGAACAATCCAACATCAGATTTGGCATTTGCCTCGTGCGCCCCTTTTTGAGTCGGAAAGCTATTTTCTTTTGGGTCCTGTGGGCACCCTAACCACGCCGCACGCGTTGGTCTCCGTTC